GAGAGAGAGAGAGAGAGAGAGAGAGAATTGATTATCTCGCTGGAACCTAACTGCAGGGCAGACATCCCTGCCCTGAGCCCGGGGCTTGGACAAGCTATAGTAAAGCAGGTGGCCTGGAAACAGAGGCAGGGGCCAGCACTAGAAGACACAGCCAGCGGAGAGGCAGGGCTCTGGGGTGCACTGTGTGGGGAGCTCCCTGGACCCAAACCCGGCTGAGGACCGGCAGCGGGGACACCACCCACAGTACAACCTGGAGCCAACACTGACCTTCCCCAAGCTTGCATCGGGGTCAGCTACACGGCTCGCAGCTGTGCTGGTGCAGAAAACCGCTGTTCCCGTGCTGACAGTGTAGACGAAGCTGGAAATTCACTAGCTTCATTCCAGCCCAGCATCATCTAACAGTTCACCACGAGACCCAACAATGAACCGACAAGCTATGCTTTTCACTGCTATGATTCAGGCTTTAAGGTGTGGAGAACTAGGAATTGCCCGGCTGGCATGGTTCAGTGGATGAGCTTTGACCTATGAACCAGAAGGTCACAGTTCGATTCCTGGTCAGGGCACATGCCTGCGTTGTGGGCTTGATCCCCAGTAGGGGACCTGCAGGAGGCAGGCGATCCATGACTCTCTCTCATCATTGATGTTTCTATCTCCTCTCCCTCTCCCTTCCTCTCTGAAATCAATAAAAACATATTTTAAACGTATCCAGGCATAAATAAGATACCAACAGGTCATATCTCACCACCACCAAGCTATTGAGTCTTCCCAAGTGAGCCAGTGAGCTAGAGAATGCCCGATTCTATTAGCCTTAAATTCATCAATTAAATGAGATTGGAAATGTGTGTCTCACCAAAGGGACCGCAGGGATTTCATCTCTTAATTGGTGCTTGTAATGTCCTTTGAAAACCACAAATCACCTTCCAAATATAAGACATCACTCAGTCCGGTTCCACTCCCGACTTAGAGGACACGAAGTCTGCAAGCTCTTCCTGTGCTGGGAGGGAAGGAAAGGCAATGAATAACATCTGTGGAGTGCCTGCCATGTGCAGGGCACTGTGCTCTGTACTTAATACGCACGACTTCATCCAGAATTTCTTTTCTGGGGGGAGGAGCATAATTGGAAATTTTAAACTTGTAGCAAATGTGCAAAAAAGAACAGACAAGCCATTCAGGCCATCATAAATTATATTACCATGTCAACATATTTGCTTCTAATTTCTTTCCATAATTAAAAAAAAAAATCAGTTGTTTGATTTAACACTAGAGGCCCGGTGCACGAATTCGAACCAGTGGGGTACCTTGGTCTGGCCTGCAGGATCAGACCAAAACCGGCTCTCTGACATCCCCTGAGTGGTCCTGGATTGCGAGAAGGCACAGGCCAGGCCAAAGAACCCCACTGGTGCACGATCGGGGCCAGGGAGGGATGCAGGAGGTTGGCCAGCCCGGGAGGGACCACAGGAAGGCTCCAGGGCATGTCCAGGCCATCTTGCTTAGTCCCAATTGGCCGGACTCCAGCAGCAAGCTAACCTACCAGTTGGAGTGCCTGCCCCCTGGAGATCAGTGCATGTCATAGTGAGCAGTTGAGCAGCCTTAGCATATCATTAGCATATTACACTTCAACTGGTTGAACAGAGGACCGACCACCAGACACTTAGCATATTAGGCTTTTATTATATAGGATAGGACAATGTGTGTTAATTTTCCATTCAAACTATGGAAAGCTATGCAAAAAAATAATAATTACCCAAATTTAATGATTTTTATCATAAAATTATTAAAATTAGGTAATATTGCAGCCATCTTTCTGTGCATATAAATATAGAGAAGGTAGATTAACATGTAGACAGATTAATGCATAGACAGAGAAGAATACTTCCATTAAAATGGGATCATACCATAGATGCTACAATAATGCAATTAAATTTTAAGTTGAAATAAGTAAAAATAAAGAGAATTTTGAACTTTGAATAAATGATTTAAGACCAAAACAACCTTTTTCTACTATAAGATTCCCCTTAGGTTTTATAAAGAATTCACTAAGTAACACTAAGAGGTCAGAATGCTTATGCTTCAAAAATTACATCAAAAATAATAAAAGCATAATATGCTAATTAGACTGGACATCCTTCCAGATGAAGCTGGGGCTGCGAGGGAAGCCTGGGTCCTGGGTGCCAGAGGGAAGCCAGTGCCGGCAGCTGGGGAAAGGAAGGCCTGCTCTTGCATGAATTTTGTGCATTGGGCCTCTAGTGTATATATAAAAAGCTTATGCTTTTAATGTATATGTATATTACATGTATATGTAAATGTATATGTATATAATTACTTATGGACTGTGAAAGATAATATTGACCCTCACATTTCTCACTACCCATTCCTCATTTTTGTATTTACATTGATGTTTTCATGTTTTCCAAGTTCACAGCATTTGTACCCTGTTCCACAACTGAAACCAACATGTGTTAATTGTCTATGTAGATGCAGTCTGTGTGCATCCTATTTCTCCTTCATTCTCGAGGCCTGAGAGCTTAGCTGATGGACTTCCGTGTCAGGTCATTTCTTCCAGAGCAGACATTTAGGTTCCATCCCCTGAGAGTTTTCCTTTCTCTGGGATGAATGTCCAGTGTCATTCTATTTAAAAGACATCAGGGTGGGAGGTGACAGTCCTGTGACCCTTTCCCTCAGGGCACCGTGGACTCCTCCTCACCGTCTCCTGGTCAGGATGCTCCTGTGAGTAAGTCAGCCAGTAATCTCATTTTTTTCAGCCTTTTATTTTTTAAGAATATTTTTTATTGATTTCAGAGAGGAAGGGAGAGGGAGAGAGAGATAGAAACATTATTGATGAGAGAGAATTATTGATCAGCTGCCCGCTGCACACCCCACACTGGGGATCAAGCCGGCTTGTGCCCTGACCGGGAATCGAACAGTGACCTCCTCCTGGTTCATCGGTCGACTCTCAACCACTGAGCCCCCGGCTGGCTTCAGTCTGTTAGATGACTTGTTGTTTCCGTCTCCTCTCCAAAAGTGTTTCTCAGCTTGAGGGTCAGCAGTCAGCCAGCAGGTGCCGCTCTGAGGGCCCTGGAGGGTGTGTTCCATCCACTCACAGGGACCCTTCCAGCTCAGCGACACCACGGATTGTCACACGGGGTCATCTTATGTCTTCTTCATTCATTGCCTTTCCTTCAAGTGCTTTATTTTTTTTTAAATATATTTTATTGATTTTTTTGCAGAGAGAAAGGGAGAGAGAGATAGAGAGTTAGAAACATCGATGAGAGAGAAACATCGATCAGCTGCCTCCTGCACAACTCCCACTGGGGATGTGCCCGCAACCCAGGTACATGCCCTTGACCGGAATCGTACCCGGGACCTTTCAGTCCGCAGGCCGACGCTCTATCCACTGAGCCAAACCGGTTTCGGCCTTCAAGTGCTTTATTATCTGTGTTTTTCAACTGCATTCATTATAATGATCTCAAATTACCCTTTTATGTCAGTAATTTGACTTTCAGTAGTCATCTATTTGGTTGCTTGCCTATCCTAATTGATTTATTAGTTCTTTAAAGATGTGGTTGCGTTTGTAGTTTGTCTCCTTACATTTGCAACCTCCTAATTTATCTGATTCTATTGTTTATTTTTTATATTGATATCATGTTATTTTTTCTTCTTTATTTTTCTTTTAAAAAAAAGCTTTATGTGTCTATAGCACGAAACAAATTAGAAAAATTCCCTAGGATTCCTGGAGCTGTTTTCCTCCGGGCGGGTACTTGTCTAGCCTGGGCACGCCCTGCTTCCCATGGTCATTGAGATGAAACCTTTGGCTGTGAAGGGTTTCATTAGGGAAAATGGTGACATGGGGCTTGAAGACGAGATGCTGGTGCCGGGTCGGCATTCATTTCCTGATGTGGGTGGCTTTGTTGTGGTTATGCACAGGGCTATCCTCACAGGACATGGAAGCCGATTGATTTGGGAGGATGGACATCAGTTTGCAAAATTACTCTAAATGGTTCAAGACATTCCTTTACCAGTGATTCTCAACCTTCTGGCCCTTTAAATACAGTTCCTCATGTTGTGACCCAACCATAAAATTATTTTCGTTGCTACTGCATAACTGTCATGTTGCTACTGTTATGAATCGTCATGTAAATATCTGATATGCAGGATGGTCTTAGGCGGCCCCTGTGAACGGGTCATTCGACCCCCAAAGGGGTCGCGACCCACAGGTTGAGAACCGCTGCTTTGCACTGTGCCCGCTGTGTGTTTGAGACCGTTTCAAAGTACATGCCCTTCATTACGTGCGTGTTGACCTGACAGCCGGGGCCTGACCGGGTTCTCACCCGGCGGGACTCCTTTCTTCCTCCAGGTGACGGTCCTTTCAGCCGCCCCGTCTTCACGCAGGAGCCCCAGGACGTCACGTTCCCTTTGGCAAAGGGGGAAAGAAAGGAGGAGGAAGGGAGGAAGAAAGGAAGGAAGGAAGGAAGGAAGGGAGGGAGGGAGGGAGGGAGGGAGGGAGGAAAAGAGGGAGGGAGGGAGGAAACATAGAAGGACAGAAAATAAGAGGAGGATTAAAGGAAAAGACAGGAAGGAAAGGAAGAGATGTTTCCTAAACTGGAGAGACCACAGAGCTGGCCCATTCTGCACTCCCCTCCCAGGGTGAGGCTACTGCCTCCATTGGCCGACACTCAATGGGGATGAAGACAGCAAAGGTTCCCCTCAAAGCACTTGCTCTGCCGGCAACTCAGCTTCACTCTAATCTACATTGGAACACATACAGAAGCTAAACAAAACCGGGGGCTTCAGCCAGCAGGATCGCAACCTACTGCATAACTGTCATGTTGCTACTGTTATGAATCGTCGTGTAAATATCTGATATGCAGGATGGTCTTAGGCGACCCCTGTGAAAGGGTCATTCGACCCCCAAAGGGGTCGCGACCCACAGGTTGAGAACCGCTGCTTTGCACTGTGCCCGCTGTGTGTTTGAGACCGTTTCAAAGTACATGCCCTTCATTACGTGCGTGTTGACCTGACAGCCGGGGCCTGACCGGGTTCTCACCCGGCGGGACTCCTTTCTTCCTCCAGGTGACGGTCCTTTCAGCCGCCCCGTCTTCACGCAGGAGCCCCAGGACGTCACGTTCCCTTTGGCTTCGTCACAGTCGGAAGTCACCCTGAGCTGCGCCGCGAACGGTCACCCTCCACCCCATTACAGGTACAGTCCTGCCTCCTGGCCCCACGCGTTTCCTCTTTGTCTCGAGGTAAAACGTACCCAGAAGAAGGGCTCAGAGCGCCCTCGGTGCTGTGTGCGGCTCCGTGAGCTGTGATGGGGTGTCCCGCTGTGGGCCACTGCTCCAGGGGGATTCCTTGTTCCCTGAGGTTCCCACTCTCCAGGCAGCAAGTGCCCGCCCTCCCGGCAGCCACTACTGGGACTCTGTTTATTGATCAGATTTGCGTAGAAGAGTTACTCTTGACACTGTTGTCACGCAGTGTCGTGTTGAAGTTAGAACTGAAAGAAAAATAGAAAAGGGGAAAAGAAAGGAGGAGGAAGGGAGGAAGGAAGGAAGGAAGGAAGGAAGGAAGGAAGGAAGGAAGGAAGGAAGGAAGGAAGGAAGGAAGGAAGGGAAGAAGGAAAAGAGTGCCAAAGGAACTTCTTCCTGACACCAAATAAAAGATTAAAAGTTGATGGACTCTATTCTTCCACCCACATCCC